AGCTGCTGGTCCCAGTGGAGAAGCAAATACAGTATATTTGTTGGTACACCTGCAGATAATAAACAGAAGATTTTAAGAAACATATTTGATGCCCATTGGGTTTCCCAGGAGTCCTGAATTTACTCAACAGTGTCTCCAGTGGGAAAGCTGTAATAGGAAATACACCTCTCTGCTTGAGATCTTGGAGAGTGGCTGCAAGTCAGAGAAAAGGATGCTGGAATAAACAAATATTTTGACATTATAAAAGACAAGCTCTATACAGTATTTGCTGTATGAGTCCATCTTGGGCTCCCCATTTTCCCTTCCCTCACCTGCAGGATTCAGTCTCTACTCTTCCAGTATTTGAAGATAATTAATACCGCCTTTTCTTTTAAGTAGAGGCCAAACTAGACTTTTCTAAAGAAGCCAAACCCGTAGTTACTGTTGAAAACAAGAGAGGTTATGTCTAGCTTGTCCCCCCCATAATGTTTCGTAAAATTTAATCTGTCCTGATACTGCAGTAGATTATATTTTTCTACCAATGTATGGAAAAAGCAGCAGGAATCAGCATGAGAAGAAGAAAAAATATTCAGAGGAAGCCGAACATTGTGATGACAGGGGGAGCGTGCGTGCAGAAGGAAAAGGGGGAACTGGGTTTGTAGCTGCTGATTTTAGCAGCAGTCTCCTCACATTTACCATAATATCTAAGCTTTGGCTCTATGAGGGGTGACTTTGGACCTTTAGACTGTCACTGGTGCCACGTTTAAAAAGCAAACATACTTCTCACTTCAGTTTTTTTTTTGTTGTTTTGTTCTATTTTATTTTTGAATATTTTTAAAATCAGTTGACAGCTTTGCTTTTACTGGCTGTCAAAAGCATGCAGTCCATAAGAGGCCAAGATTTAACCACCCTTTACAAGAACCAGAATAAATCAGCATTTCATTTATGATAGAAGCCAGTCAATTCCCCCACATGATTCTCTCTGGTATCCTGGACCAAGGAGCCATGCCCTTTCAGCCCCCCTTGGTTAATTTCTGTGACCGATTCAGCAGCACAGTCAGTCCCGTTGTCAACCTGTCACTTCTTAACGATGGCTTTCAAAGTAGGCTTTCAAACTAGACACGGATGTTTTAGAGGTTGGATCAGTGGCATTGACAGCAATAGCTTATTTATAGGAACAAACAGCCCTTGCAACAGAGTTCTAGGAGAAAGTAAATCAGGAGTAAACAGGCAGAGTTCTTTTTGCCATTGCTTTAAGCAGTTGGAATTTCAGGTCACCCATCCCGAGGCTCCACCTTGCGCCCTTCCGCATGTTTCTTAGCACTGGAACTGTTCTTGAAGTCTGGTCAGTATCAATATCTCTAAAGTGCAAATGGATGGAGGGCTTTGATGAAAGCCACTTCGTGGGTTTATTATATTGTTGTGGAGGTATGATTTTGACTAGGTAATCCTGATTTGTAGCTTTGTCTTCATCTGAGGTTTGATCCATTCGGTACTTCCATCAATCAGATTCAAAGGTAGCTGAGAAGAATGCAAGGGTGATGGAGTGGATTTATTAATGGATTAATGGATGCCATCGGCAAAGCCAAAGCAAAGGAAAAGTCATTTCTCATGCCATGGTCACGAAGTCTGCGCTGAGAGCATATGATTCTTGGCAGCCATAATTCTTGCAGGTGTCTGTGTAGGCTCTGCTCTAAAGGATTTGCCCAGCAGATGGGATTTTACATGGTTTTTTTTAAAGGATACAAGAAGGCACAGAGCAAGAGAAAATTTCATTTATTTCAGTGATATGATAAAAAGTGGACTACAGCTAGTCTGGTCACTGATTTAATCTATTTTAGAAGCAATAATACATTCCTTTCATGCCTATAATGGATCGTAACATGGTATCCACAGGGGGTTTGTGTGCCTGTTTTCCTGTGTACCGATTTTTTCCCTGCTTTCTTATTCTCCGACTTCATGCAGTGATAGAGGCATAAATATTAGTTGGGCTTGGGTAGCTATTCCTCCCTCCCCTTTGGAGAGAGGCTTTTTGCAGCTCTGTTGTTGTAGATGAGATGGGATATGAAGGCGCCATGTGCTGGTATCCCTGATTTGGAGGCTGCAGTGTCCTCTTCCTGGCTAAGGAAGGATGCTGCTAGCATTTCATGGAGATAATGATTACCTTTACTGGATCATTTCAGTTTTCAAAATGCTTATCTGAGAGCGGATCGGTGGTTGAAATAAATTGCTTCGTGGTCTGACGAACCTCTAAAGAAAGCAGCCAATTCTGCAGCGCTGGGCCACTCAACGGTTTAACAAATCAAGCCTTTGCAGTGCTAGGGAATTGAGAAATGTGTTAGCTATGCTGGAGCGAGCATTTGTTCTATTAAGGCAATTGTTTTTCCTCCAGCTAATGGCTGCAATTTAGAAATCGCACACATTAGGGCAGACCTTTTGAAATTCTTCTTTGACCTGGACTTGTTAGGCCGGGAAGCTCCAGCAAACTTGTCCGTGGAAGGGAGCCAGGATCCAATTATGTCATCCCTAATGGCTCATTACTTATCATGAAAGACCTTAACACTCACAGAACGTAGAGTCTGAGTTGAAGGAGAATGTTGTTGGGTAGGGACATCTACGGTATGGAGCAAATATTCCCAGCTGGCAAGATTCCGACTGAGAAGTTGCCCTCTGGCATATCCTGGCATTACAGGACATACATCTGTAGCTAGTATCAAGCCTGACTTGTGTGTGGGGTTGTGATAAGCCATGCCTCCTCCCAAGGGTATCCCAAGCTTGAATTTGGAGTGTGAAGGGTTTGTGGGTCATTCAAGTATCACTCAATAGAAAACAAAGATTGGTTCGGAAATAAGAAAATACCTAGAAACAGGTTTAACCTCATTTTTTTTAACGCTTGTTTGGTGGAGCCACTCATTAGCAAGGTCTAGTTCATCCACACATAAGGCAGGCTGGAGAAAGCAGGAATGGCTTATGGACCAAATTCTTCAGGAAGGGGAGAGAGGGCCATCAGTAGCACCTGGCAGAGAGACAAAGCAGGCAAACAGGTCATCCCATCGGTTTTTCTCTCTAGGATGAGAAGCGTTACAGTTCGAATTAAATTACTGTGATCATTTCTAAATTTGAAGCTCTGAGTATACATATTTATGCACATTTTTATCCTAATCTTTGGTGATACACAACTGGCCATTCTTTCCTGCAAGGACACTATGTAAAATTGTGTGTGTGAGAGAGGGGGGGGGAGGAAGCTCTCCAGGTCACTTGAAAGGAACAGAGCTCAGTGGTACAGCAGAAAACTTGCATTTAAAGAAAGTTCACTAGTTTAATCTGAAGCTCTCCCTCAAGCTAAAAAGAACTGTCTTTGACCTACTTTTCTAGTTATTACTACAAATAATGCCAGGCTGGTTGAACCAGTGCTCTAAGTCACTAGAAAGCTGCTGTGGTAGTTATGGGGCGGTCGCATACCTCAGGTCATGCTTCGTATATGGGTTGAATCCTTGATATCTCTAGCTAGTTTATGGGTCTTGGGCAACAAGTGATAGGAATGACAGCTAATGGATGGATGGATGTGTTTGTTTGTTTGTTTGTTTATTGTTGTGCTACCTTTCTCCAGACACTGGAGCTCACCACAGCTCGCAAATCATTAGAAGTCAAGATTTAAAAGCAACATATAAACACCAATTTAAACAATTATCAATTGTTTTGTCTGTCATCTCAGGATAATGACTTCTGCGTCAGCAGTGAGGTTTCATGCTCAAGCAGTACATTCATTGCCACTCGCTTAAAATGGTTCCTTCTAGCCATGACATACTTGGGCTCAGATACCCTATAGGAGAAAACCCATACTGGGAGGTAGGCATTGCAGAATGTATAAGAGAAAGTGCCAGGAAGATAAATAGAAGGAAGAAGCCGAGTCTCTACGGTCCAGGGCTATTTAGGACTCACTGCATTGAATCCAATAAACCTTTCACATTGTGTGATTACATTTGGTCCTGCCATTCCGTCTTGGAGTGAATTATGTTAAAGTAATATGGATGAGCAAAATTAGATTGCACAGAAATAAAGCAAAGTGAAAGGGCAGCTGGCATGTTATTGGTACTGGGAAGGAGAGACCATCATCTCCAGTGATGGTGTAAGATTGGGGAAAAAATAGATTTCCAAGGGGGGAAATTCCTAAGGCAAAGAAGAAGTTTGGGAACCAGTTGTTTGTAGATTAAGATTAAAAGTTGAGTTGGGGTTTTTGCCTTTCCATGCCATTCTTCTTGGCTGGCTCCTAACATGAAATCAATGGGGGGAAAAAGGTAAGGCTTAATTCACAAAAACTGAATTATATTAGCATCAATTGCCAATCATTTTTTGCACACACAAACCCAGAGAACTCACAAGTGTTCCTGTCCGGCAGTCCACCTGGCCCTTAAGGCTTCTGCCACTGTTACAAGCCATCACGACATACGATGTCTGGTGGTAAGACCTCACAGTAGAGAGTGAGAGTGAGAGAGCGCTTGCAGTAAACAGGACATCTATTTGTAGGCTGCCACTCCTAGGAGGTGCAGTCAAGACAGTCTCTGGCCCTGTGTCACATGTTTCCCTCTCCAAGCCTGAGCTACAAGTTGTGCCTTAAAAAGATTAGATGATACAAAAATCATTAGAGAGCCCTGTGTGTCATTAAGAACTCTTGCTCAATCTCTATGCCAATGAGCAGCAAGGAAAGTTAACATCACCAGAAACCTTTGGTATTAAGTTACCCCGTGTCCAAGGGATGATGGGGAGAAAGGCAATGGATTCTGCAATGTCACAAAACTAGTTTTTTAATTTCCATGTCAAGATGTGGTCTGATTTCATTTTGTTAGACCACATCTAACTAATGTTGTTGTGCTTTGTTGGTAGCGTGGCCCAATTCCAGACTTCTAATTAATGTGGAAGTCTTCCATAGACATGGAGTAAAATTCAGCAAGACTCTTGAGAACTATAGCATTAGAACAATGGAATCTCACAGCGTTTCTCTGCTTTGTCCCTTTTTACAGTCTCTCTCCAGGTAAACATTGCTCCCAATAAAGTAGAGGTGCCTGTTGGAGAGTCCAAGTTCTTCTTGTGTCAAGGTGAGTAACACGTCCTGTGTTTTTGGTTAGTCACCATAATGCGTAATAGTAACCTTTTGCCGTGAGACGCCAATGCCAGATCCTTATGTTCCTGATATAATTTGTTTGTCACAATACATAGCTTTTTTCATAAATTGCATGAAGGAGATTCTTGGATAGTCTGGCTATATAAAAGCTGTATTGAAGGCTGAGCGAGAAAAACCTTCAATGACAGTAAACACCTTTGGAATGAAAACACTTGTGGAATGTGTTTTGTGGCAGACAAAAAGCAAAGACAATGTTGGTACAGTGCAATCGAAGTTGCTTTTAAATGGCTGAATTGTCACTGTGGCATCCTTCCGAGGAAACCAAGCCTATGGGCTTCTCTGTAGAATATCAGCATGCACTATCATTATTCCTAAACCTGTTTCAGAACAACAGTTTCCACCATTCCTTGTTCTAGAAATCATGATCTGCCTTCAGCTCCCTGTTTGAATTGCATTCCCTTTACCTTTGGCAGACTGGCCACTCCAACTTTCCCTTGTGACATTTTGGAAGGAAGAAGAACAACATGTGTGTGGAAACCTGAAAGTGGCCATTCCAAGGGACTTATCTTCCACACTAGGCTGTGTTCCAGAGGGTTCTCTGAACGAGTCCCAAGTGTTTACTCCTGAGCGTTTCACCTTTTTGGTTCTAGTGACCGGTGATGCCAAATCCAAAGAAATCTTCTGGTTTGCTCCCAACGGCGAGAAGCTGACGACAAACCAGCAGCACATCTCCGTGGTGCGGACGGAGGATTCGTCCACTCTTACCATCTACAACGTCAACATAGATGATGCTGGCATCTACAAGTGTGTCGTCTCCAGTGAGGAAGGAGATGAGGAGGCCACGCTCAATGTGAAAATCTTCCGTAAGATACCGGCCAATTCCTTTGGAGGGGCTAGACTGAGAAGGAGGGAGTTTGGCAAAATCAGGCAGGAACTGCTTTTGTTCAGTGAGAAATTCTGCTTGTTAGGAAGCCACAGGAGAGGAAATGCTGGCATTAGGGTGGATATTCCAGACCTAACCTCGGTGGAGTGGCCCGGAAGTTTGATAACTGCCTTTCTGCATTTGTGCACCCAACTTCTGTCTTTGTTGATGGGTGTTTATGAGCATTAGTGTTTGTTCCAGTGGCCGTGGCTGATTGTAGAGGGTAGATGAGGCTGAACATCAGTCTCATGCCCGTGGCAGGCAAGTCAGTCCCTCTTTTCTCATTGCACGGACACCTGAGAAACAAAGCAGCACTGCAGGTTTTATACGCTGAAGAGCCAGGGGCTGCTATGACAGTCCGTAGCCTAGAGTCTCCGAGTGCTGCTCTTGTTGCGGTTGTCTCTGTCTAGAAACCAATACCTTGTTTTACTATTGTTTACCTAAGTATTATGGTTATGTCTTCCTGCTCATTATTTTGTTGATAAGGGCAAACAATATGTCATCAGTCTAAGCATTTTGTGTCCAGCTGGGGATGAAAGTCTCTTAAATATTGTGGTAGATGCAAGTGACCTCAGTGGAGTTTTGTTCTCTCCTGGCAGCTGATGGCTTCACTCACTTGAGTGACCCTTGGCATTCCAAGTCCTTTTTCCAGTGCCTCTGCTCAAGTTACACTGAAGTCTTGATTGCATTGATGGCTGTGTACGGGAGTCTTCCCTGACCTATGTGCCATGCTTCCAGTTTTGTGTATGAAATCTGACAATAATGCATTAATTTTCTTCTCATTTCTTGCATCTGCTTTCTAGAGAAGCTGACCTTCAAGAATGCGCCCAGCCCCCAGGAGTTTAAAGAAGGAGAGGATGCAGTCATTGTGTGTGATGTGGTCTCCTCCCTGCCTCCCACAATTATGTGGAAGCATATGGGAAGAGATGTGGTCCTTAAAAAAGATGGTAAGCAGGAGGGGCAGGAGGAAAAACCCCTTATACCTTTATTGCACTGCCAGAGCTTAGTTCTGGAGCCACTTGTGTGAGCTGTGAAGTGACAAGGATGAACCGCTGAAATTTCCAGAACTGTTAAAGCCACGGGGGGTGGGGGGATAAAAAACAAGAAGGAATCTTCCTGTTCTTTCTTATCTAACCAAAACAAACACAACAAATGAAACTAACAAACAGCATGGGCATTTTGGAAAGGAATGAAATGCATGCAATAGTGGTGTGCCTTTCAGGGTGGGACCTTGAATGACGAGGTGTTAGGATCTGAAAGGAAGAATAAGAGATACTCTGTTGGCTCGGGTGAGCTTGCTGTGGAAAGGGAGACATGGAGCTATCAGCCCTCTTGTTCTGCTTCTTCCAGTGCGATTTGTTGTGCTGTCCAATAACTACCTGCAGATCAGAGGGATAAAGAAAACCGATGAGGGGATGTACCGCTGCGAAGGCAGGATCTTGGCCCGTGGAGAGGTGGACTTCAGAGATATCCGGGTCATTGTCAATGGTGAGTTAGGAAGAGAGACGTTGGCCCTAGATTCTGTCAGCCTCTTTGTCCTTGTAAGTCAGTAATATGTCACCCATTGGCAATGTTGAGAAATCATGAGAACAGCAGGTTGATCACATCCGGAGGTCCTGTGTCTGGTCTGTACTGACAGCCAGTCTTGTCCCACGTTTCAGAGAGGGATCTTTGCCTCCCTTGCATAGAGGTGCTGAGGATTCAAATAATGAGAACAGCAGGTTGATCACATCTGGAGGTCCTCTGTCCCCCATTGCTGGTCTGTACTGACAGGCACTCTTGTCCCAAGTTTCAGAGAGAGGTCTCTGCCTCCCTTGCATAGAGGTGCTGAGGATTTGACATTTGTTCTTCATGGTGTTCCTGGTTCCTCAGGGTACAATATTGCAATATTGTCCCAAGTCCTGCACATTTAAGGTTTTCAAGCTCTTCCCTCTATGCTATCCACCTCCAAACATACACCTGTGTACTAGTTTTATCTGAAGGGTAAAGTCTGGGTGCTTCACTTCCTTTGAAAAACACAATAATGGAAAGTGAATGTGTTGAAAGCAGAAAGGCAAGGGAAAAGAAGGCGAGATTCTACAAGAATGGCACTCCTTTCTGGGATCTGCGTTGCATTGATCTGGAGCTTCTTAGTTTCACCCTTCCTTGCCCATAGAAAGTCTGTCTCATTCCTTCTTTCCTCTTTGGTTTTCCTCCAGTGCCTCCTACTGTTCGCTCCAGGCAGAACACTGTGAATGCGACAGCAAACCTCAGCCAGTCGGTCAAGTTGGTGTGTGATGCTGATGGCTTTCCGGAGCCCACCATCAGCTGGACCAAGTAAGATGTACAATGCAAAGAGGCTGTGTTTGAGGCTGGAGGGCTGGCAGGCTTTTGCTGAAGGGGCACCTGTGCTGCCCAGAGCCTCTTGCCATGCTTTGCTTTCAGTCCATTTTTGTCTGGCAACCAGGGGTTGAGCCGCTGCCTGGCTTTCCGTTCATAACCGCCACTCTTGTCCGTGTGGTTTGCACTCTGCAGGGATGGGGAGTCAATAGAAAGAGGGGAGGATGATGAAAAGTATGGCTTCAGTTACGACGGTTCGGAACTGACAATCTACAAGGTGGAGAAGAATGATGAGGCAGAGTATGTCTGCATTGCAGAGAACAAGGCTGGCGAGCATGATGCTACCGTACACCTCAAAGTCTTCGGTAAGCTGGATTTTTAGACCAAGCAACTTACTCCCTCCCACCTCTTACGTCGAAATCAAACAGCCAAGAGTTGGACCTGGGTATCCCATTCACGACCCTTGGCTGAAACTAGTGTCCTCCAGCTGGCGTGCCTGCTTTTATGCATGCTTTTAAAAAAAGGTTTCTAGTCCCTAAGGATACTAAGGGAGACTTGATGATGTGGATGTGGAGACTGTTTCATGAATTGATAGGTTTATCGACTTCATCCCAGTGCTGCTTTCTGCAACTTGCAGAAGTAAGATTTGAGACACCAGCCAGTGTATGAAACTTTGCTTTAGGTACTGGATTGTAGGATATTGTTTGAATTCTAAATCTTAATTTTTTAAATTAAAATTGTATTTTCTCTTTATGTTGGCGTGCCCCTATAACGTGAAATAATAATCCTAAATTCACGGTCCATCCGATAGTGTATCCAGTGTTCATAGTCCTATGGATTTTAAATCATATTTTAATCTGCTCTGAGAAAAAATGTCAAAGTAGAGCATACTGTAGTCATGTCTGCCTAGAAGTAAACATGTGACTCTTATTTTCCAGTGGGTATTGGATTGGAACGTAAATTTGGTTGGGTTGTCGAATTATGTAATACATACAGATTATAACAACCTTGGTTTCATTTTTTTTTTTGACTCCTTCAGTTGGCCATGTTCAAACTCTCTGCATTCCATTACGTTACCTGCTTGAGCATCAATAAGATGCCTGGGAACAGAATTCGTGTGGATAAGTCCTTGGAGGATGGTATTGTGTTCTAAACAACTAAATAAACTTTTTCCTTTGCGTGCCTTTTTACCCTTTCTTTAGCAAAACCCAAAATCACCTATGTGGAGAACAAGACTGCAATGGAGCTAGAAGACCAGATTACCTTGACCTGCGAGGCCTCTGGGGACCCCATTCCCTCCATCACTTGGAGGACCTCCACCAGGAACATCAGCAATGAAGAGAAGGTAATGCCGTTCCTTGGATCTGGTCCTCTTGCAGCACCTGTTCCTTGCAAAGAGGGTGAACGGATGGGCCTGCAGCCTCTTCTGCTCCCACTCTAAAGGCAGTTTGCCTTCCACACTGAAACCAAAGCATGGCAGATCCAGGGCAGGCCCAGGTAGCACCTGAGAGGTATAGAAGCCCTGCTTTAATCCCTTTAGGCTCTCTTGACAAGGGTGAGAAGAACATTTTGAAGAACAAGACAACCAAGTATTCACATCCCTCCATAGAAGTAACATTGAGCACCGATGTGGTTTGCAAAGAGCCTGCATGCATTATTCCTGCCATCCATAAAACTGCTCTCTAAGGTAGGCATAAATTAGGATCCTCACATTCCCAAAGGAGGAGCCAATGCTAAAGGAAACCTTGCCAGACCAAGGCCACCAAATAAGTCGGCCAGTCAGGTGACAGTTGACGTCAGAAGCAGGAGATGGGGAAGGCTCCCCAGCGTCCTCCTTGGGCCGCCATTCTGCACCTACAGTGCCCTACAATCCCCTACAATCGAGGCATAAGTAGCTGGCTGGTGCCAGTTGACCAGGCTGCACTAAAGCTGGAGAGGTCCAGCTGCAGCCTTCACCTCTGGGCTATCCATATGTAGACAGGCTGGAGATTCTTCACGTCATGGTGGAAGTCCACACAGGAAGATGCTCAGCCTTAGTACTGCAGATGTCACACAGAACCCTTCGCACAGGACGATATTTTTGGATGCCCCCCTTTGGGACTCCCCTGTGTGTTGCAGATAGCAGCGGTTGCCCCATGAGAATAGCCTGGAGAGCGAATCATATCAACGTGACATTATTTCATAGCCCCCTTTTTTTCCCATTTGGTTCCCCTTTATAGGCTGAAGTAACATTTCAAATTGTTCTTGTTTTTGCCCTCCTTAATAAGTGCCTTGATTTTGTCCTGAGTCCTTAGTGGCCTGAGAAGAGGGAGGGCTGGCTAGTGAGCAGGGACCAGAAGCCAAAGGATCAGAATTGGAGAACAAGCCCACAGGCAGGGAAGACTGTAAGTCCTAACATGAACTCTCAGCCCAAACCGGAAGCTGTCCTTCCTCTACAGAACCTGCAGCCATTCTGTGGGATGGAATTGTTGTGTCCCCCAGGAAGATGCTGAGTGATAATGCCAGTGTCTGCCTTAGCACATGGGGACATGAGAGGCCCTGGTTTCTAGCCCCTTTAGACAGTGCCGCCTGCTCTTTTGGAGGTCGTTCTTGTCACTCGCAGCCAGCCAGAATCTTACCTATTTACAGGCCTGAACAATCAGTATCTGTCTTTGCTGGCAGACTAGGGAGTGCCAGCAGCTTAGCGGATGTGCCAGTTTTGGCTAGACACCTTTGGTTCCTTCTTCTGATGACCCTTGGACCTTTGAATGATTCATGCAAGGGAACGAGACCCTGTTCTTTGGTTCCAGCAGAGCAGGACAGGCATTGATGCTCTGGTTCCAGCGTCTATCATCGTGAACAGCAGCGATTGCTAAAACAGATTTGGCTGGTGGGCTGAAATAGGCAGGTGTGGGGGGGCGGGGAGGAAGAGAGGCAGATGTAGCCTAAAAAGATTCTCTTGACCAACACGGGCCTTTATTTTTCTGCTGATCTCCTGCACTTGTGGTCTCACGCTGCACGTACCTCCAGGCACAAAAGCTATGGCTCCTTTGTGTTCACTCATTAGTTGTTGTTGGTCACATGCTGAAACCATTTTTGTTCTCAGTGGCAAAAATAATTAGCAGTTTTACATTAAAGGGAATAGCTCCGTGTTAGATTTGGCTAGCAATTCTTACCCGTTGCTAGAATGATCCTGTAGGTAAGGCAGATCGATGCGACAGGAGTAATTCAGAGTGATTCAGAATTCAGTGATTCAGAATTCAGAGCTAATGCAACTGCATTGCATATTACATACCTCATCCCATTTAAAAAGCAAAGGGAAGTACTGGCTGTGTTAAGGACAGTATGAAAAAGGAAAGAAAGTAGGATCTGAACATGTAGTTTGCCTGTAATCTCTGATGTCAATGGAAGCGGTGCACTTTTTTATCCTTCCTCAATGGAATAACAACAGTTACAGTTCAACATTTCTGAAGAGCACCAGGTTGCGGGAAGTGGGTTTATTGCATCCTGCTCCTCCTGGATTTTTATCTTAATTCCTTCTGACCAGTTCTTGCATTCGCAGCTAGATTTACTTTGTGGAGTAACTCATGTAAACCTTCTTCACACAATCCGCATCGATTCCTGAATTTTGTGATGCCCCAAGAATGTTACAATAATGTAGGTTACTGGACCAGGTTGATGGAATCCACAGGATGTCTTAACTTCCAGAGTCCAGCCACTCTCACAGCACAAGGGGACTCAACGAGGTAGATTGTGGGATTTCACATTGAACTCAAGTGGAAACCACTGGAAGCAGCCCTTTGGAGCAGGATTTGAATTCGTTTTCCCTTCCATTGTTGCTCTTTTTGGGAGCTGTTGACACATGTGGAAAGATAAAGGCTGAGATCCTGGGAGGTGGGTCCTTCTGAGGATTCCATGTTACTCTTGGACCATCTGTTCAGAAGCTTAGCTGCCTTGGGTCCTTTTGAGGAGAAAGACAGGGTATAAAATATTTAAAATAAATAAACAAGCAAACAGTAAATTAGCATAAAACTGCTAACTATTTTTGAGGCGCTCACCTCTGCCGTTGGGCAAGCTATATTAAGGAACTATGAAGGCTCATCCTCCTTTGGATAGTTTCTTATGTATAGTGATAGTGCTGGTGGGGAGGCCAGTAATTCAGAGAACATGTTGCTGCTGCAGTGTTACTGGCTTTTTGTTTTGAAATATGTGGGCTGAATTGTTCGTTGGATGGGTTTTCTTGTTCTTTGTGTAATACCACGTCTTCTGAGCAATTTGCATGTGTTTATGCTGCCACTTGGTTGTTACTAGTCTAAAGAGAAGTCTGTGTGTTCCAGGACCAAACAATTAAAAATGCACTGAAGCAGGATGGCTTCTCGTATGAGCCTTGCAACCCATCAATAATCAATATTGAGTAGCTACCATGAGAAAGGATTCTGTAAAAAAAAAAAACAAAAAAACGGGGGTTCGTTCACCACAGAAGCCAAAAGTATTATCTCTGTTTCTCAGTGTGGAATGTCTCTGGCTGCCAAATGATGGGAAGTTAATAAGAGGGTCGGACTTTTGCCATCTTTGCCATAAATATCTTTTTGTCCTCTGCTAGCCACATGATGTTGAGCTATGGATATTTTTGGTCTTACCCATTTTTGTTAAGATTTTTGTTACAGTAACTGCACACTTCTTCATGATCAGGGTTGGGGAAGCTTTCGTCCATCTGATTTTTGGGTTTATAATTTCTGTACTCCCACCAAACATAGCTAATAGTACTACTGGTGTGAATTGTACTCCAAATTATTTGAAGGACCAAAGCTTTCCCTTCCCAGTGTTAGGTCCTTCTGCCCATTATACTCATGTTGGAGGACGTATTTCCTCGTCTAACAAACCATGGTTTTAAAGAAGTTCCTGTTTCAGTGGCACTACACTGGATTTGTGGATCCTAGTTAGGATCTTCTGCTTTCTAGTACGAGATGATTGGGGAAAACCATAGCTTTGTCTTCTGAAAAGTCAACAAGGAGTCTTAAAAACAAGCATGTTTTTATTTGACATAGTCTTCATAGTGCCACAAGATTGCTTGTTGTTTTTGCTGCAAGAGGCTGACATGGCTTCTCCCCAGGGGATCTGCTGAAAAGCAGCAAACATCAAAAATGATTATTTTCAAACAAGGACTTCCTACAACTCCATGTAGTGGCACCCACCATGACAGTCTCACATGTGTTCCCCTTGAAGGAGGGAATGGGATTATGTAGAAGAACATGGATGCCTCTGTCAGCTGCATCAGTTGTTCAACCATGGCAGCATTTTAGCTATGCATCAGAACTATGCTCTTGATCAAGGAGTTTTGCTGCCAGGAATAGACCCTTGAGCGGCTGCAAGCAATCCAATTAGTGCTTACGTGGTGAGGAATTGATAGGATTTATACTATGTGAGCATTAATTGTAATTAAACGTGAGCCCTCAGACTCCTCTCTTGCCTTGGCCTGTACCCTTTCTTTTCTCTTGCTGGAGTGATATTGGGAAGGGGCCTGAGCCCATAAACTCCAGGCAGATTTGTAATTGGGGTGAGCACCTTTTGCACTCCAAAACTCTTCAGACTTCAGCTTTGCTCCTGTTTGATAACTCAGGCTTATCAGAGTTAGTTATAAAAGTATATATCATTCTCAAGCCTGGCAGCCAGTCACTTCTTTTGTGTCAGATTCTCTGGTTTTGATTGGCACTGCCTGCTTCAAAGAAGGTTTCGATATGATAAGTTAGGGCCCATATTAGTCGTTGCATATTGCAGATGAGGTAAGTGGAAGCAGAGAGAGGGGCAGATTGGCTAATGGCATGTGGGAAGTTCATTGGACCTGCGGCTCTTGAGCCATGCCCTATGCAAGCTCTTTTCCGTGGAGAGAAGGTTCTTGTTCCTTCTGTTTTTGTTCTCCCACTTGGGTTTGTGTCGAGCGTATGAGAGTGGTCAGAAGAGAACCCGAGGCAGGCCTTTAGATATCATCACCGTTGTCACCGATTTTGAGTTGCTACACAGAGCGTGTCAAGGTCATATGGAGGCTGGAGACTTATCTAGGTGATGAGTAATGAGACGTGACCATGGAGAGAGTCTCATTATGTTCGTATTTGCATGTGTGTCCCTTGCACGATAAGCGGTCATCTTATAATGTCCTCTGTTGGGCTGAATGGGGACGTTCTTACAGAGGGAAGGACTTTGAGAACACCCGCGTTTTGAAGCACTCTTTAATCAGGGCAGGAACGGGGATCATGCATTCGCTGAAGTGGCTTTTCAATATGCACTGTGTGCAAAACACGGTGTGCAAAAACTTTGCCATTGCAACTGGTGGCACTGACCTTCCTTGGGGATGCTCTGGGAAGTAAGGCCATGTTGCACACCCTCACCCCTTGAACCTTCCATTCATATGCTTGGTGTCCATTGGTCTTTGTGTCTGCTGCCACCATCCAAACATGAGCAGTGTTTGTGTCCTCTTGACCATGCTGTACGATGGGCAAGTGATCCGAGACTCCTTGAATTGCAGCAGATCAAGCTGGGAAAGAAAAAGTCATAGGCACAAAACATACATGGGTTCAGGTAGTCTGCTCTTAGATGTAAAGCAGGTTCTGCTGCTGCTGCTTTCACCGGATGCCAGTGCTACTTTTTTTCCTGATACGAGTACTCTTGCTTCTAGGTTCTGCTGCTGCTTTCACCGGATGTCAGTGCTATTTTTTTCCTGATACGAGTACTCTTGCTTCTTAAACCGCATGCACCTATAAAAGACAAGAAAGGAAATGCTTGTTTATGTGCATGGAGAAGCATTTTGAAACTGTATGGCTTTCATAGCTGGTTTGTGCTTGTGTGCAGAGTGTTGTGCTTCTGTAGCACCAGGAAAATACTTATGCTGATATCTTTGCATTGCAAAGTTATGGGGGAGGGCATTGCTGGGATGGCAAAATGGCAAGGCAATTGAATCTCCAAGTTCAGTTGCCTTGGTACCAAGAAGAAGCATGTGGGAAACAGACTGCCATTTGATAACCAAGTTTTTTTAAAAAGACTATAGTACCGGGTGGAATGAATACCAGGCAGTGGACGTCCCACCTCAGTTTCCTTACTCTTCCTTGCCCAAACCCACCTCCCTACTCAAATTCATTTTGGCATGTGCATGGAATGAAGTGTGATGCATACAACATATTAACTGAAAGGTGGGGGAAGCAAACAACATTTATAAACTTTTATTGCTCTTTTTTGTGTGTGTGTGTGTTGTGTTTATCTATCTGTTCTCTCCAGGCTTCGTGGACCCGGCCCGAGAAACAAGAGGTATAAGATTACCAAACAAATAGCCAATCTTCTCTAGTTTTGTGTGTGTACATATCTGTATGTAATATAGTGTATATGAATACTTAAGTGTTGCAAATTAACACATTCTTCATAGCAGTAACAAAGCCAACTGAGGCTGCAATCCTATATCTCCAGGCTTGGGAATAAACCTAGTTGGACTTGGTCGGACTCACTTTTGAGCAGATGTGTATAGGATTGCAACTGTAAATATAGTATTAATAATGTAACTGAATTAATGCCAAAGATATATTTCTGTATATCTACCATACTAAATTCAGCCTGTCTGCTGGTAGTGCTGTAGAAGCTGCTTTGTGTCCTAGTGCATCTTTGAATGAGCAACCACAGTGTCTTAGGAGTGAGTCAAACTTCATCAAGAACTATCTCCTCCTTGGGGTTTTGGTGGAGTGAAACCAGTGCTGTTGTTTTCTTTCTGTGTTAGTAAGCAGGATCCTTCCCTTTAAGTCTAGAAGGTGAAAATCTCTTTAGGGCAGAAATGCCCAGACCAGACCATGGCCTTTCCTCCAAGACAGCCATGGATTCCAGGAAGAAAGCCAAGCCAAGCTCTCCGTTCCTTTCACTGCAGTGCTTGTCTTGACAGCCCACCTGGCCCAGGTCAAAGGCACTTGTTTGCTCATTTCTCTCCAGTCAGGTGCATCCTACCTGTACCTTCAACTGTTTGCATCACATTCCATCTCAGAAGCAATGCAATTAGCATCCCTTTAAAAGCCCGTGCGTCCTTCAGAAAATACTCCCAGAATGGCGACCAGGAAGCATGGCTTGTGTTGCAGAGGGGACCAGAAATCTGCAGCTTGGTCTTTGTGGGAGTTTGAGGCTGAGGAAGAGTTGAAATTCTGATCTCACTTTAGCGAAGAGGATTTTAGCCAAGGGCTCCTGTTGAGCCGGGGTTGTACAGAGCGTGAACAAAACCTGAATTGCGTATTTCTATACAGAGAGGGGTTGACACCCACTCTGTTTGTTGATGTCCATCAAGCATACAGAGATTTCAGATTTTGAAAACTGCATGGGTGCCAAATGGCCTCTCTTTGTGACAGCACCACTCAGAGAGGCATCTCAGTTCAATTTTGTGTAGGCTCAAAGAGGCAATGTATTCTCCTTGAGAGGCATGACGTCCAAAGGCCACACAAACGGCAAGATTTTGCAGGCAGAAAAAGTAATACTCCATGATTATGGTGTTAGGCCTTTTTGGAAAAGGGAGTACTTCTGCCTTCTGATCAAAGAATTACTAGAAAGGGGGTCTTTTTGAGCCGGGGGAGCTTCATTTGGCTTGGGAAATATAGGATGGACGTTGCACCATTCCCAAGACCCAAAGGTTTTTGTTACAGATTATTCCAAAAAGACGCTCTTGAGCTGTACAAAGGCCACCGTGTTGGTAGTGGCATGGTTTGTAGGTTGGTAAAGTCTCTCCTCTTCTCTTTCCCTCACTCTCTCTCTTTCTCTGTGTCCAATGTTTATCTTGGAGGAGGAGGAGGAGGAGACAGTGCAGCAACTCAAGCAGAAGGCTGGGGAGGGCAGTGACATTGGCCACTACACATCGGGGAGTTTCCCTGCACCTCAGGCTCCTGCTTTTCTTTTCCAGTTTTCAGGCTCAGATCAGAAGGATGGGAGGCAACGGACGAGAGTCAAAGTGGGGAGTGAGATGTGGGCTGAAAGGCTGGAGCCGGTGTACTCCAGATATGCGCCTGGAGAAGCCATGGCCATTCAACTGTTTTCCTTAAATATCAGGAAAAGTATCCTAACTATTAGGGCAGTATGGCCATGGAACCGATTACATCAGGAGGGATGAGCACTCTAGTGCTGGAGGCATTCAAGAGAAATACAACCTTGCGTTGGATGTGCTTTGATTTGGATTCCTGTACTGAGACAACCCTCCATTGGATATGCTTTGATTTGGATCCCTGCCTGGAGCAGGGGGTCGGACTCCATGGCCTTAGAGGCCCCTTCCAACTCCATACTTCTAGGATTCTATGAGTGCAGCTTCCTGAGACATGTAAGGGTGTCTGTTTTGCACCTGGGGACGATCCTGTATGGAAAGAGTAGTTATCTCAATGCACTTAGTTCTGCCATTGCATGGCACTGGTGATCCACTGCTATCTGAGATGGTTCCTGGTGTGAGGCTCTCCGTAGTGTTGGCTGCTTTTCATGGGGTGCCCTTCTGCCTTGGCAGGCCGATGCATACCCACAAAAGTCATCTTGAGTTATCTTCGCCATGCATCTGTTGCCATGGCAGCTGATGATAAAGACAGTCAGTTGAGTTGGTTTCCTTTGTGGCTGGTGTGAGCCTAATCAGGCCACAAGTACTGCTTTTGATGAACATATTATGGGATGCTGATTCATTTGCAGATGAAAGCAGTGGGTGCTCCTTGACAGCCTCTTGATGCCTTTTTTTAGTTGAATGGGGTACTTTCCTTTTCACCATGAGTGGGATGAATTCATGATATGGCAGCCCTACTTTTGGGGGTTACATTTTCATGGATAATCATTTTTCCAGTAAATGCTATTTTGGCACATATTTTTTACTGCTGTTTTTTTACAATCAACCTGTAACAACTTTCTTTGAGATATACATAGGTCTCTGGATGTGTGGGTGTGTGCGCGTGCGCATACACACACATAAAAGTGTGTGTATATAAACATGCATGTGTGCTTGCTTTTGATACCTTAGAAATGTTTCTATTTTGTGCATGTCTATTAAGAGGGATGAAGAAGAAAAAATCTTTCTTGACCAAAATTTATTAGCAATGAATCTTTTTAATTCACAATCAGCTAATTGAATCAGACCAGTCTGTAAATAGATGAGCCACAATTTCTAAATGGAAACTCTGCATACACCTCTCGGAACCAGTTGTTTAAAAGATATCCCAAGAGGATGCACACATGATTTTACACCATCTTCAAAAACCCCAGCTCCTAATTCATTTCAACAGTGACTTATACATTTTTTCCTTTATCCTTACAAATATAGATTTCAGTATTTTATATCCCATATTTTGTCCCATCCCCAGGACTTAATTCTTCTCCCAAATCATATTCCCATACTGTTTTAAGAGAATCTTGTTGATCCTCTGCTTCCAATAATATTTTATCAATTGTACTTATTATCCCTTTCAGTACTTTTTTTTCTCCTCTGCTATTTCCTTTTGTAATACCATTTCTTCAAATTCTGTAAGTTTGGGAACTCACAGCCAGTTGCTCTCTGAAGCCAGACTCCAATCTGGGAAGTCTTTGGGATCCAGCAAGGCATCGGATGGCATCAACATAACTTAAAGGGGCATCTTTACAGTCTCCAGATGTGCAGCGACCATTATGCCAGCTCTGGCTGAAGCCTCCAGAACGATATCAGATCTCGGGAACATTTGGCCGTGCTAGCAGAGCAGTTCGGGGAGTCGTGATCCCCAAAAGTGATCTTTCCAAGCTCTGGGCAATGTCCCCGCAGTCCCACCCCCAGGAGTCATGTTGCCCCCGCTGCGATGTGTGTTTGTGCCATGACTGAGCCAGAGGGTCATGAAAGTGGGGAATGGGGTGGAATGTGACATTCTTCTAGGACGTAAAAAACTCTTGTTTGCAGCCCTTTTTCCCCCTTCCCGGGGGAGGGGTTGCGTGCAGTTCACTGCCGTGTTGCCCAGAGTTGGGGAGCATCGTCCTGGCTACCTGCAAAGGAGGCCACTTTTCCGTCTCCTTCTGCCTGAATCCAGCATAGCACTAAAGGGCAAAATGACAGCAAACATGGTGGGTTTGAACAGCCACGGAATAGATGGATTTGAAGGTAAAATGACAGAGAGCGTCACACAGGGAAGTGGAGTGATCTGTATGCCTTGAAGAAGGGGATGAAAAGTAGTATTTCAGCTTCTTTGTCCTGCAAGGAAGGCTGCTGTGAATCTGGCAGCTTCAGCCCAGCTCTCATTCACACTTCAGGCAAGGACAGCATTATGGTCTCCATATGTTCGTGTTCTGGAAGCAGAAAACATATGGGCAGCCTTTGGTGGTTGAACAGTATAAGAAGAGTTGGTGAAAGGTGAATGTTGGTTGCTGAAAGGCCCTTTGCTAGATGCCGGTCAATGGTCTGCCCTCTCTAAATGCCTTGTTTCTCTCTCTGTGGTCCATCTTCTAACTTCTTGACCTTGTTTTCCTGCTAGACTCTGGATGGGCGCATTGTGGTGCGCAGCCATGCACGGGTATCTTCTCTGACGCTGAAAGACATTCAGTACACGGATGCTGGAGAGTACATATGCATCGCTAGCAACACCATAGGACAAGATTCTCAAGCGATGTATCTGGAAGTTCAATGTAAGTGTGCACATTCCACCATGCCTCTCTCTCCACACAGGTCCTCCCTTTTCTTTGTCCCCAGGCCCACAGAGTTTTTATGTATGGAACCTGGGAAGAAAACAGGACTTTCAGGAAGAGGGACTGGCAGAGAAGGGGCCCAAACAGAGAATAGATTGGGTGAGGTCAGTGGTGATGTGATGGAGAAGGCAGGAAGCAGAGAGAAGCCAGCAGTCTTTCGCCCCCAAATGCAATGGGATTTTCAGGACCTGCAGCCAGAATCTAAACAGAAAGAAGTCCAAGATGCTAAGCTTAACCTTCTGCAAAGCCTAGCTTTCTCCCGACACCTCCACATTCAAAGAGATTTCTGCTGATAGCCTTAGGGGACAACAGTTTGACAGAGTGTCCCTCTCTAGAGACAGGCGTGCCTTTGAATAATGGGGTAAGAGGAGCACAGCAAACGTAGTCTGTTTCATTCGTGCCCTGCTTGTAAGCTGCAAGAAGCCTCTGACTGCTGGTGCTAGGAACAGGATGTGAGGCTAAAGGGAGATATAAAAATTCCTACTGATGAGCAGGAGAGGTATCCCTGAATTCTCATGAACCTTTCCAAGTGGTGGAGTGTCACAGATATGATAACCCAGGGCTAATTGATCATCTTTGTGTGGCATTAGCAAAAGGTGTTATGAGCAGCCAGAGAAGGGTGGTGAGCAATGAAGATACTCTAAAAAACATCTTGAGATTCTCTGACTTTACTCTGATCACTGGTCTCTTCTTGTTCCAGATGCCCCAAAGTTGCTGGGCCCTGTTGCTGTTTACACATGGGAAGGCAACCAGGTGAATATCACCTGCGAGGTGTTTGCTTACCCTAGTGCTGTCATCTCCTGGTTCCGGGACGGGCAGCTATTGCCAAGCTCCAACTACAGCAACATCAGAATCTACAACACACCGACTGCCAGTTACTTAGAGGTGAGACCTAAAACTCTCTGGTCAGTGAGAAGGTTGGACATGGAATTATTGTTGTAGATATAAATTTGTGTCGATCTGCAAAGCCTTCGGCATGGTGGAGACAGAGACAGCTTGACGTAGCATCTGCAGTCCTGCTTGGGAGGCAAAGGTAGATGCAAAGAGTGAAAGAGCAGTAAGAAGAGCTGCAAAACTGCTAGAATTAGGGCATTGCGAATCCATCTTCCCAAGCGTGCATTGGTCTGTCTGCAATTTTAAGAACACCAGAAGAAACCTGTGGTTGAGAGCTGAATGAGACACTAGAGCTTATTAGAAGAAACAGCAGTTTCTTAAATTCCAAAAACCTGGCAATCGGACTGTTAGGGCGTTTGTGATCTCCCATAGGCTGCAGATCAGCTTGCTTTGTTCTGTGTTTCATCATCAGGAATTAGGCAAAGGTTTCTCTGAAGCTCATTGGATGTTGTGTCACTGAAACATTGACATGTTTTCTCCTTCTAACAACGTGCTAGCTGTAACACCTCTTCTAACCCTCAGTCAGACCAAAACTGTGTGGCTTCTCCTCCTGGTGGAAAGTCAAATTCTTCCAGGAAGACCAACAAAATTGCTTCCCAGGTACTAGAGTTCAGTGGCTTTGCCTCCTCCGTGGACTAGGGATGACCACTATACCTCATGGCCATTGTCACACCCTGTGGTACCCAAATTCCATAGTATTAATAATATATGCAGCAGTCTATACTCTTTATCTACTCTGAGTTCTGGTACTCTGCAAACAAGCCTAATTTTTCCATGCAATGTATCCGTATCCAAACCTTCACCATTTCTCTTTTCATCCGTTGTTTTTTTTTTCTGCAAACAAAATGTTATAAATGCTTCAGCCTTTTTCTTAGGGAAGGTGTGCCAAACCCCCATATTGATGTGTCCTTTGCAGGTGACGCCAGACTCTGAAAATGATTTTGGGACTTACAACTGCACAGCTGTCAACCGAATTGGCCAGCAGTCCTCAGAGTTCATCCTTGTGCAAGCGGGTGAGTCATCAAAGCCACCCTCCAAGGTCTTGAAGCTTTCCTCCCCTTCTTTTAAAAATGTCAAATTAACAACAGCAAAACCCAAGACATCCTGCCAGCATTAAATGTTCCACTTTATGGACTTGGACAGTGGCTCTCCATGAACTTTGATGGCACCAGCTTCTGGATTCCCTTGGAGAGCCTCCAGAGTTCCCAACATCCAAATCCCTGAACAATTTGGGCAATTTCTCAAACTTCACCATGGCTGCTGTACCAATCGCATGCCATCTCATGGCTCTACATGATGAGTCACCTGCCTGTTTTCAAAAAAAGAAATCTGGAATTGGTGCTTTCCTGAATTTCCCCCGCTAGCTGCTCAGAGGGCAATCCGCCCCTCTGGATGCTTTGCTGAGTAAATGGGAATGCAAGTGCAACAGCCTGTTTGGAAAGAAGAGGTTCTAATCTGCTCCTGCTCCTCTGAGGCCACATGTGTTTCTTTGGAGGCCTGGGAAGATCATGAAGGATGAAAAGGTAGCACCGGGCTAGGATCCTGCTCCCTTCTGAACACAGGTTGCCTGCAGTGATTTTTGCAGGAAAGGGGGGAACTATGGAGAGGCAGCTCTGTTGGGAAACCCACATTGAGATTAGAGACAGTGGTGCGATTGGTGATGACAGCCGATGGGGGCCTCCAGTTGAGGACCCCACAGTTTTGGCCTGCTGTCTGTCCCTAGAGGCTCTTGGTGGGCACTGACTCCGCAGGTGCTTGTTGAAGGCATTTACGTGCGTCTGGACTTTTAACAGGGCATTGATTCTGTTGGGTTTTTTTGGTGGTGATTTTTTTCCTTTGTTTTTAGCAACTGTTTAATTTTCAGTGTAACTTCCATTGAATTTTTTATTTTTGCAGAAATAAAAAATGGGTCTGTTTTACTCTGTGCGTCACCTCAGAAGCTTTAACTGGGCTACCTTACAGCTCTTCAATATTTTTGCTGGCCAAGGACAACCAAAGTATGGGGAGAGAATTCTCCCCCAAACTTTGATCACACAGCCACTGCCATTTCCTTTTCTCGGCTGTGATTGATCTTATGGGGATCCTTTGGCAGAGAGCTATTCTGAAAAAGAGATTTGGGGGGGGGGAATGGGTGTAAAAATTGGGGTGAGAAAAAATTCAGACCTGCTTTAGGCTGGCCTGCTTTCTCCCTGCTCCCACGCAGACTCAGACCGCTTCGGTGGCAATTCCAGGTAGTCTCCCCCATTCCTCCTGAGTGTGTTTCCTCTTTCTTCCCGGTCCAGACACGCCATCGGCGCCTTCCATTGAGAGAGTGGAGCCCTACTCCAGCACAGCCCAAGTGGAATTCGATGAGCCCGAGGCCACCGGTGGGGTGCCCATCCTCCGGTATAAGGCGGAGTGGCGAGCCATGGGGGAAGAGGACTGGCACAGCAGGCTGTACGACGCTGAGGAAGGTTGGGGCACTGAGAACTGCTCGCCCTTTTTGCATAGCTTATGTCTCATGAATAATCTCTGATAGTCCGGAGCACTGTGTGTGGTGGAGGGGGCAGGTCTAAGAGTGGCATAATTGCTGCGCTTGGAGAGGATGGCCTTGGATGGTGGCCTCAGTCTCTCACCAGGGGGAAAAGAGACCATCGCTGACAAGTAGACCTTGCAGGAATGAGCACCTGGAAGCTGCTCTGTTCATTCCTCAGTATCCAAGGCCAAGGTGAGCAAATGGTGAGCTGCAGATGCTGCGAGGCTGCAACTCCCATCAGCCCTAACCAACAGAACCCTTGGTCCTTGATCATGGGAATGGTGGTCCTGCATTAACACCTGGGAAGAGTGTAGATTTTCATCCCTGCCAAAGACAGGGGAAGAAAGATATGTGAAGGGACCCAAAAGACCAGCAGAAAGACACATCCAAAGAAAGAGAGAGAGAGAGAGAGAGAGAGGGAGGGAGAGACCATGCATCCAGGGATGGATATATAACCCTAGTTTTCCAACTTCTAAATTTTGAGTTTGTATAGAGGAGCCAGGTAGTGACAGAAATTAGCCACCTTTCCACTGTGGCTGATAGGAAAGACTTGCTTGTACGTATGTATGTATTTACAACATGGAGATGCTACCTTTCCTACAACAAGAAAAAGGAAAACACGTGGCTATAAACAAAAAGGAAAACATACACTTACCATTTTAAAACATCCGTTCCTGAAGTGGTAAAACCCATCTTAGATAGAGAGACATTTGAGAAGAGAACAATGGAATGACAGTATCAAAAAAATGTATAAATGATTTGCTGCCAAGGAAATGTTTCCTTGCTTCTGGAAAACTATTAAAGAAGTGCCTTCGGTGAGAGGTGGTTCCAAAGCTGAGGTGCAGCCCAGGAGAGCCCCCCCCCAACTAAACCTACTTCTCGTGACGGATGCATGCCAGGGTCCCCTAGGGATGTTCCCACGACAGGCAGACTTGAACAAGGGGAGGTGTTGGTACACATACCTTGGGCCTGAGCCATTCCGGGCTTTACCATCATTAATGGTCTGAATGGTGCCTGGACAAAAGTAGAAAGCCAGTTGCATTTGTTCAATAAGGGAGTCTCATGTTAACCATCCAGCTACTGCATTCTGGACCAGTGGTTGTTTCTGAGTTATTCTCAAAGACCGACTCAGTGATATGCCGGGCGGCAGTCAAAGGCAGTGCAACTAGGGCATGCGTTACTATATGGTCCTATTGGTGTTCTTCAGAACTAGAAGTAGTTTCCATATTCTTTGTACCGACGTTTTGTTGAATAGGCAGTGGCCTACGTTTGCCCCTGTTCTCCATCCCCTGGCTTCTGCAGAATCTACAAAATAATGTGGGTGTGGGTAAAACGAAATGTTTCCAGTGGTGGATTCCTTTTCTCTCCTTTGGTTCCCTCTCCCTTCCGGAACAGCCAATTCGGAAGGTGTGTTCACGGTCATGGGTTTGAAGCCAGAGACCATCTACGCGATCCGACTGTCCGCTGTCAACGGCAAAGGCGCTGGGGAGATCAGCGCTCCCTCCGAGTTCAAGACACAGCCAGTTCGTAAGTAAACTCCTGCTCTTCCGCCCTTTCCTGCTTTTGCAAATTGGGTCCTTCTCTCTCTTTCTCTCTTTCTCCCTGTGTCTTTCCAGCATCCCCCATCTTGCACGGGGGCCCCTGTTCCTCCTCTTGCTCCTGAAGCTATCCTGCTGGGACAGGTAGAAAGGTGAAAGAAGGATAGTTTGGCCGAAGCGTTCTCTCCTCAGAAAGCCGTGCTTGAGTTCTCAATCAACCCTCAACAAATTGCTTCCACTTAAGAGCTCTACTTATGCCTTAGGAATTGAGACCCAATGCTTTTACCTGGCCAGGGCCAGCAAACAAGCCCCGCCAGTTTCCTGGTTTTCAGATCCAAAGTCCAGCTAGTCCTTCTATAACTTCCCGCAGTGACCAACCCACAAGTGAGTAGGAGGTAAAGTTGGTCGTTGCTCCCCAGCAGCTGTCCTTAGAAATAGACTGCTTCCCGGCCGGGGAGGCCCCCAGTAGCCGCCCTGCTCCACAGATATCGAGGAGACCTATCCACTTCCACGAATTGTTCTCAGCTCCTTTTGATTCCACCTCCGGTGGTGAGCCACCGCTGTGTCTCGAATGCCATAGATTCATTATGCCTGGTGTGCTAAAGCGCCCTCTTCTTGCTTATCCTGTGTTTCACTGCTAGAGAAGGTGGTTGGAGCAAGCGTTAAAAGGTCAGCTAGTCAGAAGGATGAAATGTAATCCAAATACCACAGAGGGAGGTGTGTTACAAGCTATGGGAACTCAAGGTGTGTGAGCTCCAGTGAAGCTCCTCCTTCCTCCTTTCCTAGAGCTGGTCGCCCCTTTGCTGGAAGTCCTGCCTGCCCATCCTGACAGCTCAGAGCAGCCTCTTGGGAAGCCGACAGCTGTGTCTGGTTGAAGAGGGGTGGCTGCTTGGCCAAGCCTGCCTCTCCTTTCTTCTCCTTTGGGGGAAGAGGGGTTTGCAGACCTGCTTGGTTCATGACTCCCCACTGTTTAGTAAGTGTTGGACTGAGTGAAGTTAATTCCATGCATTGCCATAGGAGCCTCCAGGGTTCTCTCCAGGCTCAGTCCTTGTCCCCACAGACACCCCCACACCTCCCATTGGGACTCAGAAGTGCTGGTCGCTCGCTTGTGTTTGGATGGTCTTCCTTCTGTCCCTTTCACAGTGTTGTCCACACATGCCTGGAAATGACCGAGAATAAATTGCCCTCTTTTTCTCTGTGTGGTCAGCACAAGTGTTGCTTCCAACAGAGACCCGAGGTTAGACCTTCTCCTCTGCATCATCCTTCTCCTCGTCTCCCCTCTCCTCTCCTCTCCTCAGCCCCCACCCCATCAGTTCCAGGAGACGATGGACAAAGGCATAGCATGCTGTGATGTCCCATTTCCCTTCAAACAACTGTATACGGTTTCAGCTGTTTGTCTGGAAAAATCTGAAATTCTAAACCTGCCCAACTGGGTATCTGAGCCCATTGCAAGGCCAGGTCATCTTCCTTGTTTTAAATTTCCAGTGCCTTGTTCTGTCACTTCGTTTATTTTTTCATCTCTGTTACATCTTTTCTTTTTTGGGGTCTGTGTCTGTCTTTTCTTTTCATCCGTGTTCCAACCATGGGGAAACTGCAGGCACTCCGCCACCACGTAAGTCCTTCTGAATTCCTATTCATGGAGTGCTCTTATCCTAACACGTAGAGCTAGCTTCTTCTCTCTCTCTTTTTTTTTTTAACTTAGCACATCTCTTTTTCATTTTCTTTTGTTCTGTTTTGACTTTCCTTCTCCTTGTCCTTAGAAAGAAAGTAGCAAATAAAAACTCTTGCATCTCCTAATAACACTGACACTAGAGTAGCCGTGATATTTTCCAGTTAACACCGCTGTTTGTAGAACTCGGTTTTGAGAGGCCGATGCCTCTTTTTCCTCCCTCTTCAGAGCATGCAGTGTCGTCCGTATCTGCATGTCTGCCCTACTTGCCATGTCCTCGTTTTTCCTCGACAGCAGGGGTCGGCAACGTGGAAGTCCCCAGGCTCTCTCTAGCTCACCAAGGCTTTTTACACTGGCCCTGCCTTGCTGTACCTCCAGGTGACCATATCTGGGCCAGATGTTTCAGAAGAAAAGGCATTTACTTATTTGTTCATTTGTTTACTCCCGAGAAGAGCCTTGGCAGGCCTGGTACAGCCTGGGGTGCTGTTATGTTGCCAGCCTCTGTTCTATAGCTGAAGGCTGTTTAGACTCCAGGAGCCCAAGAAACAACACAGGACAGGTAGCATACAAGCAGGTACAGGTGAAAGGGGGAGGGCTCCAGGCTCTGTTTTTAATTTTCTCTGTCTCTCTCAGTGTCATTTAGAAATGTGCATAAATGAACAGCTTTCCAATAATGAGCGTATCCTATTACTGTCATGCTGCTCTTAGATCTCCCCCTCCCCCTGCCCCATCTCTCTCTCACACACACCTCCCTCTTTCTCTTTTTTTTGCTTCTCAGTTGCAACCTCTAAAGACAATATTATCCAGAAATCTTCTCATCTTGGATGATAATCAGACTAAATGTATCTGAAAAGAGGGGAATTGTGAATCTGACATTAGCAGCTGGTGTAGCAAACTGGGCAGAGAAAGCTGCACTTTTTTACCCCTGCCTTTCCTCGTTCCAAAACTGGAATAGGAAAAGCTTGGCTTTTCTAGGATTTGTATTCAGCTGCCACTCTGGTGAGAACGTGGCCTGTGACGGGCAAAATGCAGCGCTATGCTGCTGGTAGAAGTGAGAAAATGAGAGAGCAAGTCATTCCTCTGCCATCTCTTGCCGTGTAACACATGGGAAGTGAGATCTTCCATCAGTCAGGCTTAGTATTGGAAGACAAGATCTTAAAAGTCCAGAAATCAGGCTCATCATATAACATGACTAACCAAGTCCATGATGGAAACTGGCTGGTGGACAACTTCAGTGGGAACTCCATAAAGAAAGGTTCAAGCAGGGTCATTGCTTGGCTGTCGGTCTGTGCCTTGCTGTTGATGTTACCCACCTCAAGAGCAAGGCAGAAAAAAGGACAAGATTCTTGTGGGATGAAAATCTGTGACTTTTCAGGTTTATGGATGTCCAAAGAACCCACATGGATCCCTCAGAAGTGGTCTTGTAAGCCCATCCCTCATAGGGGCGAACACTGCCCGCGCAGGGAGGTTGTGGTGGTCATTTCAGCAGTAAAGTGGCTGTCCAGCACAGCCACTTCTGAAAAGAATGGATTAATAGCAACTCATTTTCAGCTGACTGAGCAATGCCTTGGATGTACAGCCAGTAATTGCAAGTCAGCACTGCCAGGGTGGGGATAGAGGAAGCCATATTTCTTGGGAGCTTCAAGAGAGGGTTATGCAATGTGTGACCCTACAGGAATGAGGCGATAAGAAAATGAAGATGCTTCTCAGCTAGGTCACAGAATCATAAGACCCTCATTAATCATAAGACCCTCATTGCAACCATTCCAGCTTCAGTATGCATTCTTTTCTCCTTTCTAAGTAAATAAATGAAAATACTTGCTGCCAGAACAGTGCCAGATTGAAAACCATGAAGCTGTCTGCTTCATGCGAAGAACTTCTGGTTGCAGTCTGAAGAAAGTGCCTGGGGGAAGAATAACTTTGAGGGGTCATGCCATGAGCGGTTCCTTCACTTAATTGTGACTGAGCTGATGACCTTTGGATTTTAATTGCTATAGTGTTGTTGGTTTTTTATTTTTCCTAAATTTTGCTGGGGGATTAGGAGAGACACAGAATGAATTCTACCATCAGAAGGCCACCAACGTACAGTCTCCCTTGATGTGGGTGATGAGATCTTATGTTCTTCAGAATTAAAGAGAGAGAGAGAGAAAACACTAGTAGGTTTAAGAGCATGGGAGGGAGACCTCAGGCGGCATTTGAGAGGGTGTGCTCAGCTGTTGGTATAAACGCAATCCTGCTGCACATTGCTGCACCAAAGTCTTTTGGGATGCTTTACACATGATCTCTCATAAACCCTGACGCTGAAGAACTAGCACCCTCCTCTTCCGCAGGGAGGCAAAAAGTGAGGTTGCGAGGGAGGGCTTGCCTCAGGCAGCTGGTCAAGTTCAGGTGAGAATGAAAATGAAGGGTTCTCTCCCCGCCTCACAACGCTGACTTCTAGCCACTCTGCATGCTCACTCTTTGCTCTTCTGTCTAAATGTGCAGATGTTGTGACTGAGCAGTTCTCCTCTTGGGTGTCCCTACCCCCACCCCACCCCCAGAACATAGCAAACCCAGGATGACATCAAGTGGTACCATTCAGGCAGGGGGATAATTCTCATAGATAGAAGGCTTCCATCTCTACCCTTTTCCCTTCCTCGGCTTCTTTGGGGTTCTCTTTACAAGGAGCCAGGTGCTGAAGAGCGAATTTTTTTCCTTGGAGGAGGAACAACACGGGAACACCAGGGATTTATTTATTTATTTATTTATTGACAACTGTAGAATTATAGCCGTCTCGGTCGATTCGTTTTGTTAGTTTTTATTATTTTATTTTTTGACAACTGTTTCTGTAGAATTATAGCCATCTCGGTCGATTCGTTTTGTTAGTTTTTATTATTATTATTATTATTTTGCTTCAAAACTTGGGAAGTCTAGGTCTCGGTCCATGCTTCATGAGCAGAGCTGTGGCCCTTCCAGCTTTCTCCCAAAGTCTGTTTTCTCTCAACACCCCACGGCTGGCACCAAGAATGGAAACTGATCAGAGGGTTATTGTCTCTCTCTCTCTCCCTCGCCACCTTCTCTCCACACAGTTTCTTCCATAGTTGTATCCCACCTTTCCTGCAAGCTGCTGGAATT